ACAGTTTTGATAAGGAGAACTTTAGCAATTGCCTGTCAACTAGAAACAGCAAGTAGTAAACCTAAGTACCTTCTTATTCATATACTTATTATACCTAAGAAGGGTATTACTTCCTTAAATTTAGAAATACTTTTCTTTTTGTATCTTAAGATGTTTAAACAGACACTCATGAGTAAAGTCAAGGGAGTCTCCAAGTACATAAAGGATGGAAGAAAATACTAAGGTGTTGCAGCAACTTGGTTGTTGCCATCTTCTGAAATCTTGAGAGCTAAGTGCTGGTCCTGTCACTTCTTGCTGGCATACAGCTTTCAACGGCACGGAAAGATGGGGCAAAGTTAAAATGTTTTTTTAATAGATCTTTGAAGCTTCTGGAAGACCAGTCTCTTCCTGAGGTAGCTGGCATGAAAGATCAGGCTTCTAGCACTTCTCTTTGATCATTACAATTTGTGAATTATTTCATTCTGTCTTGCAGTGTCTTCTAAAGTCTTTGGACAAATCAGGTGTCTGGTCCATCTGGAAACAGTTTAGTTAGGTTATCTATAAGCGAGAATCACAGGGCAAGAATCCACTTTTGAGCCCAGAACTTTTAAGTAGCTGGCATTGTCTGTGTCACAATGGCCAGTGTGTGATTCTGCACCAACCAGCATAAAAAAAGTCTGGATTCCCACTTTTTGAGAAGTTGGCCTGACGTGGTGTGGGTCCAGTTTCTTCAGATATTTGTTACTCATTTAGTGAGGCAAACTCAAATGTCCTGTGAAAAGAACTAAAAGAAAAAACTATAGCACAACAAAATACAGTTGCCACAGACTAGATTTATCACTAAAATAAACTCAGACTTGTAATTATCTCCAGTTCTCAAATAATTGAAAGGGGGCAAAAAGGTCTTGTTTTTCTCAAGATTTACAGTATTATAGCTACTTTGTGCTTTGAAACTGGGCTATAGGTTGGAACATTTGTGTTCTGAAATGTAAGACTTGGTAGAGAAAATTAGTTTTAAAGCTCATCAAAATTAAGTCTTGTTGTTTTATGGCTGCACAGCCACTAAGGCTATCCAGAAATCATTTCTGTTTTTAAGTTTCAGTGTTTCAACATTTGTTTGTCTTCTAATATGCAATGAACTTAAACTGTTTAAAATAGTTTGCTTATAGACATGAAGGCTATGTGTGAAGGAGCACCACAGATTGTTCAAGTTATGAAAACAGTGTGGTAGCTGTAACGTGATGCTCTGCCTAGTCTTCTTTGGCATGTTATCTGGTTTAGAAGATGTCAGTCTGCCAAAGTATTGAAAGCGTAAAGTTGCTAAGTAAAATAAAAAACAAGCTCGTCACATGAAAGTCTGCTGTGAATTTTAAAACTCTTACTTTTCTTTAATTGCAACTATATTAATTGCAACTATATTCTATTATTATTCTAAATAATAGAATATTCAGTATGTACAGTCACTTTTAAAGGGAAGTGAAGCATGGGGAATGTCAATTCGTGAGTAATTTCCAGACTCAAGTCACCGATTCCTTGTTCTGGTTGCTGCTGTTACTGCTGTCTTTACAGTAATACACAGCATGTGTTACCTGTCATTATACAGCACTTGCTGTATGCCAGGTGCATACACCCATGTCACCTTCCTGTACAAGTCATTTTAAACATGTCATAATTTATACATTTAAAGCAGTAGAAGAGATCTTAAATGATGGTTGGTGCAGCTATAATCTTGGTTGCTAGGATATGTTTTAAGTTTTGTTCCATAAAATGCAAAATAGAGACCTGGGTTTTTTTATTTTTCAGCCCTGCATCACATTTACATTTTTCTATCAAACACCCTCATACACTGTCCTGGGAATATTACACTATGTTCCAGTGTAAAGCACATCTTGTTATGAGATTGATTGAGAACAGGATTAGCATGGAGTTCATGTTACAGGTCGGTATTGAAATGATTATGTGGAATACAGACAACTTCTTGTCTTTAGTTGCATTTCTAGTCATTAAATGGAGTTTAAGGAAGAACAAAACAGGTCATCATAGGATTGTGTTTGTATTTTCAGTTTTAGCAGGATAGAACAAACATAAAACGTGGGTTGTTTGTGTCAGGATAAGGTTGGCTATCATTCTTACATGTAACTTGTAGTACTCTATATGTGTTTCATATTCTTTTTAATGTTATTTCAATGGTTTTGGTTATTGTGATTGGTCATTAATACTGAGGACCTACCTGTTTTACTGACCCTAACTGGTGTGGCTGTGAGCTAATCTAACCAAACTATAAATAAAGACAGTAATGAGAATCCAGCTTCTGCTCACTCCATTGTGTAAAATTTTCAGTGCTAGAGGGAGCATAGATCTTTATATTGGAAGAAGCAGTTGAATAGAAGATTGTAATTTCATTCTGAAATGCTAAACTTTCACAGAGTTGTAGCTCTTCTTTACTAAATATGTTTTGTGACATGCCTTAAAAAAGACAGGGTGCTGTAAACAAACACCCAGTTAGAAACTGAGTGATACCTCTTCCTAGCAACTTCAGGTTTTGGGTTTTTGTTTGTTTGTTTGGGGTTTTTTTTTAAGGAAAACATGTATGTGCTTGTGCTAGGGCTGTTATAAGCGGTTGTCAGATTGAAAGTACGGCAGATGCACCTTTTTTTAAAGCTTTCCTTACATCAATTTTAATCACTGTTTGCAAGTTTTAGAAAGGAATAGCAAAGCAGAGAACCTGATGACCGTTTTATTTCTAAGAAGTAGATACAGTCAGTGATCTGTTTTACTGTAGATAATTTTTGAAAGCTGATGGTATTTTAATGGATTTTGTGTGTGTATATGTGTACATAACTTTGAGGAAGTTGGTTCTTTGAAAAGGCTGAGGAGGAAAGAATTGGTTGAAAATGCACCCCTTACCCTCTGCATTGTAACTTGGTTAATGAAGGCCACACTTGCTTGCAGTGACTAACCTCACAGATTACATGGTTTTGAAGGATATAAGTGCTTAGAACTGGAAAATGGATGCCAGAAAGTGTTTCTGTATTCCATGTTGAATTCAGCTCTGTTTGTTAAAAAGCTGCATGGTACGTTGTTCTTGTAGCAGTGATAAGCAAAGACAACATTTTTAATTTAATTCTGTTACCGTTCGGCATTTCTCATGTTAAGGAGCTGGGATTTCAGAGCTTTCTTGGCATTGTGGATGGTTTGCCTTAAGTAGAAATACATTTGTGGCTGCAAATCACAATTTCTGATACAGACAAGCAAATAATCTTCTGAAATCTCTTCATTTTGAAAGGCATTTTTTGAGGCCAGTTATCAGAGGATGAGTTTATTGGCCTTTAGTTGCAATTCAGCTGCAACTAAACATAAAAGCTTATTTTATATACTGAAGTCTTTAGTGAGAGTAATAACTTTTTATCATTTTAGGTTTTCAACAAGTTGTTGAGTCTGGCCAGCACTGCTTCATCTCAGAAGTTCCAGTCACACATGTGGAGTCAGATGTTGGTTTCCACATCTGGGTTTTTGAAATCTATCTCAAATGTCTCTGGCAAAGACATCCAACCTTTAATAAAGCAGTGGGTGTATCCTTTTTATTCTTGGTCTGGGTTGTTAATATGGAGAATAAATTTGTTTTTTAATTGGCACTATTAAAGGAATGTGAAGAAAGGTATGAAATAGCTTTAAAACAAGTACGTTATTCTTTGAATTGGATATATACGGGAGGGACAGGTTCACACTCCTTTCGTAGTCATTTAAGAGTATGCTGGCTTTTTTGTGTGTTCTTTACTAGAAGGGATTTCGTGATTTCAAGTTTTACTTTGAAAGAAGCACAAGAACTCTGCTGGAATTTAAAGCCAAGTTATACTAAAGAGATTCCAGAGGACACTGCCCATAGAAATATGCTGAAGTCTGACATGGAAAATGCTATAGTCTGGTGCATTTTAAGATGTGATTTCCAGTAAATCACCATGAAATAAATAACCTAAGCCACACATTGATGGTTTAAAATACCCTGACATTTAATAATAATTTAATAATAGCTGGGTAGCTTGTGTTCATGTTACGATTTCATGTAAAATAAACCTCTCTGTGTTGATTCTTCAAATTTCAGTGATATTAGTGAAGAAAGGGCTTCTTATTTTGGATTGATATGAGGGCAAATTTTAATTTGCTCCATTCAACAGATTTAATTGGTAGTTTTAATTAACATGACTGCAGGCTAGAATCATACGTGACTGCAACAAAACCATACCTTTCTGTTCTAACAGAAAACAAAAGTAGGTATTTATAGTTAGACATTATTTATTTGAGCTGACTTAATAGTGTTCGTGCATCTCAATATCTAACTAAAACCACTGTGTAATTAATATTTATAGAGTAATATGAGAAGTTAGTATTTTATCTGCATCAAAAGTATTCATAAAGTGTAAATACACATTATTCTAATTTCCATGCTTAGCTGTGCCAAGTGCTTGAGGAAGATAGGACTTCTATATGCACATGTGTTATTCACACAGCAGCTATAGCTAAATGTCAGCATTACTGTCTGAGCTGGGTGAATCCTAACGACGTCTGTTCTGTAAGCAAGGAAGAATTGTAACTCTCAGATATGGGGATTTTTCAGCTTCTCTGGACTTTGGTCCCAGAGCTGATCCTGTTAACTGTAAATTGAGGTTAATCCTATGGTTACAACCTCCCTACTATGCTTCAGCCACTGTTGCACCTGTGATAGTAGATTTTTCCACCCTGTAAGACCACAGCAGGTCTTTGTATTGTTTGGGAGGGTATCTTACTACTATTAACTAGCGCTGATTTGTGCTGAAGAAGCCACTAAAAATGCCTTAAGGTGTACGTGATGACAAAGTCACAGACCTTTATGAAGGCAGCCACCGTGAACAAAGCCAGTCTGAGGTATCTAGCCAAATACCGTATTTGGGGAGAAAAGTTGATAATGCATGTATGATAAGAAGCCCCTTTGAATCTGGAGGCTCCTTCCTTGAATGTCAGGACATGAAAGAACAGGTTTTCCTTCCCTGCTTTTGTCTCGTATTGTCAGAGACTTGTTGGGAGCATGCACTGGACTAAAATACTTCATTCCAGTGTTTTGGTTTTACTATAAATAGTGTCACACAAGTAATGAATGGTGGCGTTATTTACAAAAACAGTTGACTTGAAGGAATTGTTGCTGGGATAAAAGTGCAGAGTGAGATCATTACTTTTTGTCAGTCATATCGTATACTGTCATGTATACGTGAACTCACGTATACACACACACACATGAATGCTACAATGACCCAGTTTGAATAACTGCATTAAAATAATTGAGTTAATGTAGTGTGGGTAGAAAACAGAAGCTAATGTCCACGTTTTCCCCGGAGTTTTATTAACTGAAATATATAGTAAAACAAATCATATGGAAATTACTGAAGTCTTACTCAATTACTTTCTCTGAGAGCATGCCAAGGACATTGAATTTGGTGGGGTCCAATATGATTTTTCATAATGGCTTTTTTCTTACTAGGTAATTTTTGTTGTGCTTCAGGTTTTTTCCATAAGATATACATGATTGTACATTAAAGAACTGCTTAAAGAAAAAAAAAAGTCTTTAAAAGTTTATGAATGAACATAAGTGTTTCCATTTCCTGATTTTTCTTGGGTTGGGAAATTCTAGGAATAAAGAAGCATAAAGCAAGTGTAAAGAATGCAAACACTGAGAATTATGTTTGTTTGTAACTACTGCATTGTGCACTGCAATTCCTATACTTCTCATTAGGGATCAGAGTGGAGTGGTAAAATTTTATGGTAGCTTTGCATTTAATAGAAAACGGAATGTATTGGAATTGGAAATAAAACAAGACTACACGTCTCCTGGGACTCAGAAATATGTGGTGAGGTCAATTTTCCATATTTTACCTACATGTGCAAATGTGATGTATACCTTAATAAGCATAATTTTAATGTTATTAACAAAATCTTGTGAACTTGAAGGGTCCTCTTAAAGTGACAGTGCAAGAGCTTGATGGATCATTCAACCATACATTGCAGATTGAAGAAAACAGTCTTAAACATGATATACCTTGCCATTCTAAAAGCAGAAGGTAAGAAATAGATTAGAAACTGGAAGTATTTTTAGTATGGATATATGAAAACATATAGTGCATTTGATGATAAATACATGCTTTTAAAATTTTTTTATTTTCTGTTTTTATATTATCTTAATCTACTGAATAACATTTACGTGTGATGTAAGGGGAGAAAACAGAATTTACTACTGTTTATGGACAGCAAGAACGTGCACATTTTAAATGTAATTCTTAATTATAAGTAAATTTATAAAAGTTTTATAAAGAGATTATTTGTATAGAGCAAGTAGAATGAAGACTCTAATCAATCAATTTATTCAAAATGGCTTTCACTGGGAAAGGCAAATTAGAGGGAAGACAAATGTAGGCCAGAGGAGTGCCTCAAGTGAAAGTATATGAATGAAGCACTTGCATAGTTTTCCTTTTCTGTTAAGAGTGCCAGGGCTGTTCACTAAACCTAACGAGCAAGAAAAGTAACGTACTTCCCAAATAGATTCTCTCGGTTTCCTAATGCATTTTAATAACTACTTTGAACTCTGCTTCTCAAAGCAAAGTATGCTTGTGTGTAATAATCGTAAAAATGATGGGAGTCAAGTTTAAAGTAGTGTAAAGTATTGGTGATTATTATTTGAACACAGCTCAATTTTGTGAATATTTTTTGCTGGAGAGAGCGTTATTTTTCAGTGTGGTGAAATACACAGAGTACTTTTGCAGGCTAAAGCTCCATTTGTAAGCATATCTTTGCTAGTATGGCAATTAATGCCTTTTTTTTCCCTATTTTTGCTTTTTTTAATAGAAATAAGAAGAAAAAGATTCCTCTGATGAATGGAGAAGAGGTGGACATGGACCTTTCTGCTATGGAGTAAGTTAGCTTATTGGAGTTTCTCAGTGTGAGACTGAGCACGTTCCCCTTATCTAAGGCATGCTATTTTGAAGGATTTGGTAGTAATGTTGTACTTCACCATATCACTGGCAAATTTCAAGACTGTACCACATTTCTTTGCCTTCTTTGAGACTTCTTCTGCAGCTGGGAAAATGCTGGTGAAGTGTAAAATGTATGGGTTAACTACTATAACCGGCTTAAAAAAAAAATCTTAGGCATGATAAGGTGATACAATAAATTACTTGATTCTTTCTTCCACATTTCTAATGATAACTTTCAGCTGACTTTGTAGGTAAAATGTAAACAAGAATTCGCTTGAAACAAAGCAAGAGCAATTTTTGTTGGACCTTGATGAAGACCATTTTACTGGCCCTAAGACAGACAAGTTCCTGAAATCTGTGGTTAATTATGAAAGAATCCTTTTAGATTGAAAATAAGTGGTGAAATGCTTTGTACTGAAATTCATACTGGCATTAATTTCAGTTGGAACTCTTTAGCTCTGGAAGCAAATTCTTGCTCAATGTAAATACCTGCTTTACCCTCCTTGAGTTGGAGCCAGGGATGCTCTTGGAAACACTGAAGGTGTTGGTACCTTGCTGGCTGGCTGAGGGAAGTAAATAATCTGCTCTTGAAAATTAGTGGTGTCTCTTTGAAGAAGGATAGCTTGCTTGTCCCCTTAAAGGTGTTGGAGATTCTCGTAAATTTAACCTCATCTAAAATATGATGAGAAATAATTTTATGAGGGAATTTTCATTGAGCGATTTTTGTTATCATTTCTAAGTGATAGTTGACATATGAACAAATAGTCTTTTAATTGTATTTAAGAGCAATGAGGATAAATGTTTGTGAGTAGTTCTGATCAGTTATGTTCAGGTAGCTGTTGCATTACACTGAGCTGAGACTTTAATGATCTTCTAGGAGCTACCTTTGAACTGGTATCTGATGTTACGCAAGTCGTTTATACTCTGTTCGTCTGCTGACCCTCCCATCTGCGATGCTGTTATTCTTTTGTCCAGTTTGGACTCCTCTGCTCCAAGCATATATGATAATGTCTGTTCTTTTCTTTTCTTCTAAATCCCTTGTATGCACTCTTCTTTTTACTATCCTTTCTTCTCTAGCTACTATCTTGACATTAATTTTAGGTATTCTACAAACATACACGGAAATACACATCGTATTTATAATGATGCTCTTTTTGTCATTCCAAACTCCCTCCTAATTCCATGTCTGTATTTTGCTGTTATGAATTTTATGTGGAAAACTGAGTAAAAGACTTTATTATAATAGTTTGTGTTTGTTGCTCCCATAAATCACTTCTGCAGTTATGGTACTGTGTGAATACTGAAGTATAAAATGCTTGTTTGAATGGAATACAACTGAGTAATTTTATCTGTAAGAGTGAAACTTTAACCCTTCTGATACTTTCACTTTTATCATCATTTGGCTTGGCTCCTCTTGTCAGCTTTCAGCATCATAGCATGTGCATGTATGTAAAGCACTTTCACATCTATTGCTAAAAAATAGTATATAAAAAAATGGGTGTTTACCACCAGATTTTCTTTGTTGGATTTTTTTTGTTTTGATAGTCTTAAACTGTAGAAGTTGATAAAGTGCTCCTCGCTTATGAAAGTTATAGTGTCTGAGGGAATAGAATTAAATATATTGAAATTATACTGTAGTTCACCCAGACCTGTACGTTAAAAATACTAAAACACTGTATTCACTTTGACGTATTAGAAGTTTGGACAGATTGCCCTGGAAGGCTGTAGAATTGCCATCCTAGAAGCAGGAGATTAGACCAGGTGACTTTCAAAAGTCCCCTCTAACACGGATTCTTTAATGGTTCTTTGAGTTTAAAGACTTTAAAAATAACTCATAACAAGTTAGAACATCTTTTGAATTTCTGTAGTCTTGAAATGTTGTAAGCTATTAATGTTTTTCATGTCTGTCTTAGTGCTGATTCCCCTTTGCTCTGGATAAGAATAGACCCTGATATGTCAGTACTGAGGAAGGTAGAATTTGAGCAATCTGATTTCATGTGGCAGTATCAGCTTCGATATGAGAGAGATGTGGTTGCACAAGAAGAAGCCATTCTGGCATTGGAAAAGTTCCCTACTCCGGCATCACGGCTTGCACTGACCGATATACTAGAACAGGAACAGTGTTTCTACCGAGTGAGAATGCTGGCCTGCTTCTGCCTTGCAAAGGTGAGGTTGTGTGGGTGGGAGTAGGGGAAGAAATCCACTAGACATTGAAAATGTTTGAAAATGGGTCAAAACTCGTCACAGTTCTTAAATGGCTTGATATTTAGCCTCTTGAAAATGTTTGCCAACTATTTTTAACATGACTGATTTGAAAGGAAAGCTGTATTATTTTAGTCTGTAAATGGAGACTGCAGAAGGCTTTCATAATTGTTAAAATTGAGATGTCAGACATGAAAACCACAAGGGATTTTTCCAGGTTTCATTAAGTAGCAGAAATAAAAGACTTCTGCTTTATTTTTTTTTTCAGAGCCAAAGTGTATTTTTCTATTTTACTGGGAAGTTCCTTGGCCTGTGTGTTGAGAACTCTGAAGTGCTGAAATTCATCTGTTTGTGAATAGAGATAGGTGCTCTATATTGTTTCAGATTGAATGGGACACAGAATAAACGTCATGTTGGTCTGCAATTAAATATTAAAAAGCCAAATAATTGCCCTGAAAAGTGGAGATCTTTTTCCTTTAGACACAAAATTAGCATTAAGAATTAAAATTAGAGAATCCTATAAAACAACTGGATGGAAACACATAAGGATAAGAATTTCTGAAAAGGCATGTTGTTGATATACTTTTAGGGACATAAAGGCATACTTACTGACAGTTTGTGGAGTTCATATTATTGGCATATAGCTTGTTTTCTGCTGTGACCCTGTTGAGAATAATTCAGTACCTGTATAGAAATAAATCCTTTGGCCATATTCTGGAAATCGAAGTCCAGTGTTTGTCACAAAGTATTTTAATATTATGAAACACTGATGCAATACTGCCAGTGTATGTGCTAGTGTTGGTACTGCCAGTATATGATTTAAAATATGCACATTTCGTAATGAATTAACTTGGAATATTTAAAAGTCTATATTCCACAGGTAAATATTAAAAGAGCAGTTGTTACAATGTTTAAATGCAATAGTTTTTTCTGTCTTTAGTTTGAATTCTCAGGCAGAGAATTCATGAGCAGCAGATGAGCATAATGAGGTTTGCTCAGTTGTACTTGTATGGAAATTCTTGGGTCTACAGATAAGGTTGTTAACAGAAAAAAGTTTACAAAGCTAAGGAGAAAGTATGGCTGTGACATTGAATCAAGGTGAAGGAGCACGGCAGGACAGAGTTGTAGATATGTTTACGTAAGTTACCTAGGAGGAAAGTGTAATATATTCTATTACTAGTTCCAACATCTGGGTATTAGTCAGAATCACTTCCTGTTGTCATTAACTCAGTTTAATTTTCTCAGGATTTGTATTCTTTATTGGAAAAAAGCCAAGTCCCTCATTTGTTAGAGGGAGGGTTCTTTTTGGTTGATTTGGAACTTCTAGCTGGATTGGCGTTACTATTCTAAACATTCTTGGTGTGCTCATGTTCATACAGAGAAATGATACATGGCAATGCAATTATAAACTGAATTTGCTACGCTTTCTAAAGGTACTGTATAATTCGGTGTAAAACAGCGCTTCAGTCTCTCAGGCATAAAGTATCCAGGTAACATATTAAATCTTCATTGATAAAGAAGTTAATGGGGAAGGTGCGTGCACGCGCACACACTTTGAGTAGTTCATAACAAATAACCATACAGAGAAAGGAGAAAGGAACATCACAATATTAATTCCTGGGAGTATGCAGGCTGATTTTCCCATCAGATCCATTGCAGTGTTGGTGATGTGCTATAACGTTTAAAGAAGCAAAAACAACACCACAAACTTCCCCCACCTCAAACACTGAGAAGTTTTTGTAGCTGTGCATGACAGTTACATCTTACGCCAGTTTTTTATGCTATACTGAATTGAAGGGTGCAGAGACAGAGTGTACCTGCTGCCTTTTTGGGTAAAAATAATGCAAGACAGGCTACTTGTGTTATGGTGTGGGGAATGTGCAAATACATTTAATTCAGTGTGTATAGCGTATCAGTAGGGTAAGTAGAAAACTTGGATTCTGTCAGTATTTAAAGAGAAATTCAAATGAGTCAGAACACATTAGAAGACCAGAAAATACTGAAAAGATGTTGATTTAACTACTGTTGATTTTATTTGAAAATACTGTTGTTCATCTATAGATTTTACAAAACAGATGCTTAAAATAAGAAGTTGTTAAAAATATTTTAAAATTTACACCCCAGTTTTAATAGAATAGTTAATATCTTGTGTATATAGTAAACTTTGATGATATTTTGGGAGTGGTGTTTTATTTTATGCTGCTACATATATTTCACATTTGCAGTTTTAAGTTCACCATCATGATTTGTAAGCAGTCTTTGGGATTGAGCTTTCTCTGCAGGAAGAGTTGTTATGTACCTTACAGAAAATTTATACCTGCATCTTCAGTTCAAAGACTTCAGATACTGCAAAGGGAACATCTACTCCGACCACAGTATTTTCACTCTCTGACTTTCCTTTGAAGCCTGACTTATTGGGAAAATGCTTTTCAGTAATAAAGCACCCATCTTTTGTCAGAGCAGTGGTGAAATGGATTGCTACCCATCTTCAGATAGCCTCTTGCTTTTCTTTCTCTTATTGCATACATAATACCCTTTGAAACAAGGTAAATAATTTAGAAGGAAATCATCACATTAATTTTCTTCTGTGCGAGAACAGATTTTTCCTTAGTTTGTGGTGGGTCTGTAACAATGGAAACTCCTGCTGCGTTGTGGGGGGCATTGGCCCCATTTGTTTGTGCGCACGCACGCACACAGAGGCTTCTGCCATCAGGCTCCCTCCGTCGTCAGGCGTAGGTGTTCTTGTCTGCAGGCTTGCGCGGCTCCCTACAGCCGGTGTGTGGAACCCCGGGCGCTGGGAAGGCACTAAAGCAGTTTTGTCTTTGTGGAACCTTACTGCCTTACATAGAACAGACTGTAGCAATAAATTTGTCTCAGTGCACAGTCTCTTTGTGAATTGTGATTAAAGTTAGAGGTAGCTGCCTTGCCTTTCACTTTAGGGGTGGTCTTTCAGTCTTAGGGTGGCTGAGGCCTGCTTAAAGTCTAGGCTGAGGTTACTGGCAGGGTGAGTTTGGGAAATTGGTGTTGCAGAAGCCTCTTCCATCACTGGCTTCTGTAGTCAGAAAACTTGGCTTAGTAAACACAGAATTTTCATCTAAAATATAAAAGAGAAAATAATTAAGAACAGAAGTTTATCATGGGAGGATAATTAGTTGCAGACATCTTCCAAGTGGAACAATTTTCATAAAATTGACCTTTATTGTAGAGAAGACATATTGGATATAGCAGTGAAAACTTAGCTAATACAAGATAATACCTTGGTGAAGATGTGTATCTATTTGAAGGACAGTATGTTCTTGCAGTTATCCTTTTTGATTATGGGAAAAGTGTCTTTTTCTACAGACAAACTAAACGCAGTGGTGATGTTAATACAATTTCCTTTCTCCCCTAATTACAGATTGCAAATTCCATGGTAAGTACGTGGACAGGACCACCAGCCATGAAGTCACTCTTTACCCGAATGTTTTGTTGTAAGACTTGTCCAAACATTGTGAAGACCAACAACTTCATGAACTTTCAAAGCTACTTTCTGCAAAAGGTAAAATTTATTTTCTTCACTGAACGCTTTAAATGTCAAAATACAAAAACATTCCTACAGTTCGCAACAACAGGAGCATGGATAGCGCAATCCTGCTTTACCCCTTCATAAAAATCCAAAATAATTAGTTCTTATAAGGCATCTGTTTGTTCCATCTGAGTCAAAAACCAGTTAACAACATTTAAACAATGTTTTCTGAGTAGCTGAAGTTAAATTAGCCATTTTTTTCAGAAGAATGGAGTACATATAATAATTATTTGTAAATATTTGTAGGCTCATTCTTAAATAGGATTTATTGCACAGTAACAAAGCTACTCGTTTTATGGTTTAGGTTAATTCAGCAGCTGTCTTTTTCATTAATGGCAATGATAGCATACTGCAAATAAAATCTCAAAAATCTTATCTGAAGTTGGTGGGCTTTTTTAGTTGAAGGCACTGCATAATCCTTCTTGCCCTGTCCTTTCTATTAATTGTTGACCTTGTGCCTTGCAGCAGTTTATTTTGATGTTAATGTTTTTTTTTTTTACTGGGAGCTATAGCTGTTGGTTGTACAGCGGATAACAAAATGGTTTTCTTTTAGGATTCACTTTATAATTATTGGATGATAGAGTTCTTATTTCACAGATTTCATATTCCTGATTAAGGAGAAAACTCCAATTTTGTTTTCTTGCTCTGTCCAAGACTTTCATCTTTCTCCCAACATCTCTTTCTTGGACCATCTTTTGTATTTTTCTGCTCTTTTTGTCATGGTTCATTCTTTCCCACTAAATCTTACACTTTTCTCCCTTTTAGTCCCATGTCTCAAGTTTATACGTCTACAGTAAGACTCCTAAAACTATGTGAGTGGAGCCTAGAAAGCTATTTAGCTCATTCTAAAATAAATACTAGTCAGGCTAATACCTGTCCGGCTAATAGCTCTTCAGGCTTCCCTGACTGTATTGGATCTGTACCTCTCAATGGTTATGGAAGCTTAGCCATCATGTTCACATGCAAACACCCGAATTCAGTGTCTGTCTCAGAGTGAGTTCCATCATAATTTTCTGTGTTTCATTATTTTTCATTGTTACCTTTTTGATAGTGCCTTGACTTGAGAGTCTTTTCTTGGATATGCAGTTTTTTCAAATGTCTGCACTATGGCTAGTTACTGAGCAATGATTACATCGTTTATTTGGTCTGAAAAGCCTATGGTATCACTTTCAAAATGCATTTAAATACAATGTTTCAGAGATTTGCTATTGTACAATTGTTACTTGCTCATTTTCAGGATGTAGCTCTTTTCAGGGTGTAACTATCATTTCACTAATGTAAGAATTACGTTAATATTACTTTTATTACACAGACTATGCCTGTTGCCATGGCCCTTCTGAGAGATGTTCACAACCTCTGTCCTAAGGAGGTTTTAATGTTTATTTTGGATTTGATCAAGTATAATGATAACAGGAAGAATAAGGTAAACAACGTGTTTATTCGAATCTCCCACTTTTTTGTTAAAAAAAGTGTTAGTAAATACACTGCATGTTTTGTGCCACTAGTGCAAGTACTGGCTAGGAGACTTGATGAAAAGGTGATATGCTAAACTAAACAGTAGATGTTACAGAATGTTCTGTAGCTGGCATTTCTATGGCAACATTTCTTGGATGTTTCAAAGCTCTTTGAGCTTGTTGACTTACTAAGGACCTGTCTGTCTTCATTTGCGCACATAATTTTCTTGATTTACTCTTTTTCATTCAAAAGACCCATGTGTTTTGAGAAAATGTGCATGAAGCTAACATCTAGCATGCAAAGCACTAGTTTGTTGGGGGTTTTTCACTTTGAGAAGAGTATTTGAAAGAGCAGGGAAAGGAAATAATCTTTTTCTAATGATATGCAAGGCTCTGGGGTTCTGGGTTCTGAATGTCAGCTCTAGTTCACAGAACTGGATTGTCTTCATCTAGTTAAATAACAGCTGAAACCCAGGTTAATATTGTTCCATCACTAAATTGAAACATCCGAGTTGGAAGTGTTGTCATCTAAAGTTCCTGCCCAGAAAGATGACCCCTGAAGGATGATTAGATGACCTTTAAGATCCTGAGATGGTACAAAATTCCATCTCCCTAGCTACAGAGGAAATCTACAACTGCTAGGAGCCTAGCATAACTTTTCCAGTTAAGTAGTCGAAGTGAAGTCGAACAAATGTGAAGCATCTTAAGCCTCACTTTGTTGTGTGTAGAACCACATGCTGTAACAAGACACTTGTTGCAGGATGACTGAAACAAGAGGATGATAGAGGGTGGAGAGGTAGGGAGTCAGACACGTGAATGCAAGCACCACTAGTCACAGAATGTGGTGAGCTGTGCTAGCATCTCCCCACCACCAAAGGAGAGATCCCGCCTCACTTTTCCACATGTCCCTTCCACACATGTATTTGACATCTTCTACAGGATCTGACAGATAGTGGGTTTGTTTAGATTAAATTAACTAATGTTTTTTAAATTTTGTTTTTATACTTTTTGCTCCTTACTAACATGACCCACAGATGCAACAGCCAGCATAATAGAAGGGGTGACACTGTGACCCCAGATAACAGGAGCGAATAAAGAAGCAAGATTTTCCTCACTAAGCAGCAGTAGCCTGTTAGTTCACCTCAGAAGCTTGTGAAGTTGCTGTTTAGATAAACTGCTTTTCTGAGGTGCTAAGCACCCGTTAACCTTGGTAGCCTTGGTGCTGAATATAGGAACAGACAGGTAGTTTTAGATGCTCACATTTAGAAAAAATGGCTTTTATTTTCCATATCAGGAAAATTTTCAATACTTGATTTTTTCATTTGTATAAAACAATGTACTGCTATTAATATGCTCTTATTACAGACTGAATATTAATGATTGATAGTGTGTCTGCTTGCTCAGTCACTCAAATCCATTTTCAGAACAAATTTATTCCTGTTGTGCATTCTCATGCAGTTTCTCATGTGGTTTTTGTTCTAAGATCCTATTTTTTAAAGAATATGTATTGTTGTATTCACTTGTGTTTAAATGCTGTTTTTATCTAGTTTTCAGACAACTACTACCGTGCTGAGCTGATTGATGCCCTAGCCAACTCTGTAACTCCTGCAGTCAGTGTGAACAATGAAGTTCGAACACTAGATAACTTAAATCCTGATGTTCGACTTATTCTTGAGGAAATTACCCGTTTCCTAAATATGGAGAAGCTTCTTCCCAGTTACAGGCATACCATTACAGTCAGGTGTGGTTTAATAATTGTTGTACACATGAAGAGAGCAGACAAGGCTACTTTTTGGGCTTTGTGTACCTTTTTGTAGTTGGTATTTGAGACTTTGGCTTGTGTGTCTTAATCTTAAATATCAAATTCCTTCCAATTTCCAAAAGCTGATAGTGCAAGTTTGTCTTGATTGCTTTATTTTTCAACATTAATTTTTATCAATGTAGATTTTTAATAGCAGGCATAAGTTGATAGTGCTTGTACCTCTTTAAGAAGAGCATCTGTGAAAGTTTTGCAAAAGGTGTTGTAACAGTATGTGTAGAGTACACAGCATAATCTGAGCTGTGTTTTCTCTGTGAGTTAGTACAGTTCTACTGAAACCAAACAACGGATTTGACATGGTGGGGAATTTTGTTGTGTTTCTGCCTAATACAGACTTAATGAGAGCTATGTGTTAATGCTGTGAAAATAATTGTAGCGTGTTACTTTGGATAATATAATTCTAGAAAAATTGCAGTAATGATTTTGAAGAAAGTAATTTTATTCTTCTTGGCTGGCAATCCATAAACCTTGAGTAAATTTCCTCTTTCTACCATATCTATCTAGCTGTTTAAAAGCTATTCGAGTGCTTCAGAAGAATGGTCATGTCCCAAGTGATCCTGCTCTCTTCAAGTCGTATGCAGAATATGGGCACTTCGTAGATGTCCGAATAGCAGCATTGGAGGCTGTCGTTGATTACACAAAAGGTACTTTTTTCAAATATTTTGACACTTCGTAACACTTGTGATATAGTAGAAAAATGTAATACCTCATTACTATTAGGTTAAAATAGTGTCCACCGGAAGAGTCTGCGTGATGACAGATGTATTGATAAGAAGCTGAGATTTCTATTATTGCTTTGTCCTAGAGAATGCAAGTTTTATGAAGATGTGGTGAGCATTGTTTATCAGTGTCTTGCAAATTGAATCAGATACCTAAGTTTTGAAATAATTAATAGACAGTACAATGAGTAGTGTAAGGGGTTTTGACAATTTCTTTTTAACACTTCATTTTCAGTGATTTTGATTCAGTTGAGTTCAGCCATAACTGCTAGTCAAGGTTCTTGGTTTTGCTTTATCTTCTTGCTTATCTTTTTGTTTTGCTTTTTGCATATATCTTATGGTTATAAATTTTGGAAACTTAAATTATGTTAATGATTATTGATTGATTCTGCTTTGCCATTCCTTATACGTAGCTTATGTTTGTCAGATGTTTCCGTTCTTTTAATATTAACTGTTGCAGGTCCTTGAAAAAAATTCTGGGTAACTTTCTTGAATGCCATTTGAAGTTGAAATTCAATCCTGATGGATTTTCTAGAGGCAGTTAGAAACCGTAGCTTTAATGATTTGCATTTTATAAAATGAATTTAGCACTACGTTAACCTGTTCGTTTATTTGGATTAGTCTTTCTCTCATCTGTTCAGCAGATTCGTGGCAGTTCTATGTTTGAAGGGTTATTCCTGTCAAAGTGGCCACATCCTTCAGTTCTTCCTCTGTGAGCAGACTGGTGATTCTAGACTTCTAATTATTCTTCCTCAAATTTCATGTTTTCATTTTCAGGGAAATGGAGAGTTTCCTTTGCTTTTTGCATGAATAATTGTTTTCTCTTCTTTATAAGGGCTTTATTACTTTGATCTTACTGCTGTCATTCCATCCAAAGACTTCTCAAACTAGATAGGCAATGGGAGGTTTTAAGGCAATTGGAGTCTTTGAGTGAACGCCTCTGGTGGAATTCAGATGTATGCTTACAGACTGAAACCGGGCTGTCATACAGAAAAATTAATAACTTCAAGGGAGCTGCGCGCTGAGCGTACCTCTCAGGCTCAGTCCTCATCAGTCTTGTAATTCGCCAAGCATTTTGGATCCATAACCCACTGCTCAAGTACCAATTGGTGACCTTGTGAGTGATACTCAGCTAGAATTCTGAACTCCACTGGTGCAGGGTGTCTCTCTCTCTGTTAGGCTACTTGCTTTGTTCCTCCTTTCATAGAGAGTTAGTGGAAAGATTTGGCAGGGAATGGGAAGCTTTCTCATCAGCCTGCTTCCTTTAGAATAATCTCCTCACTAATTTATCCCACCCTTTGGAAAGACAAGCTGATAAAAGTAAAGTTTTCTCCTTAAATTCTTGACCTTTTATAGATGGTGTTTATAATTAATAAATTATTATTTTATATGCATAAGAAAGTGTTTGTACTGCAAATATAGTACATCTTTGAAACAGCTGATCAAGTGGGTTGCTCTATAAGCAAGTTGCTTGAAATACTGTCCAGGAAGGTAAAACTTGAATGATAAAAAGTGCTAGAAAGATTACTTGAGGAAATCAGTGATTGAGCTGAGTGTAATTTTTAACTGAGCTCACTGTGACGTCTGGAAATGATGGATTAGAGTATTGCTGTACCTAACTGCCTGGCCCCTTGCCAACAGCTTTTTCTCTGATGCAGAGGTAGCAGATTCAAATATCTGTCTGCTATAAAGTCACTACAATTCACAACACAGCCTACTATCAAACTAGTCACCAGTATCACTTCTTAAATACAACCTTCCAGCACTGAACGCATTAGCTTCTACTGTAAGACTGATAAGTTTTTGGTGGAGGGGTAAATCTGGAAGCTCAGTGTGCTAACTGACTTCTTCAGCTACCCATATAGAAGTTAGCAGTGCTTGTCTCAGAGCCCTAAACCTGGCATTGGAAGGAGAAATGATAGGTCACCTCTTGCCAAGAGGTCTGATTCTTGTTGTTCCTGGTTACCTGGTTTCCAGTTCATACTGTATGTAAATCAGCAGCTATCAAATGCCTGTTGCTTGTGCCAAAGCTGGCTTTTTAACAGTTCTTATAAAGGAAGCTGACAGATTTTGTAATTTCCATAAAAAGGAAAGTCTGTATTTTCTGGGGCAGTGTGGAACTCCTATGTTTTTCTGTCAACTCTCAGGGTGGGAATAGCACTGCCTTTTTTTAAGTTACTTTAAAAGAAATCGTTTCTCCATGGAACTGAACAAGTTGTTTTCTTTGCTGTTAATAGTAAGTCTTTTTTTGAGACATGGTAACTCTGTAAAATGCTTGAGGCAGCATATAAGGACTTGGACAGTTGATCTAAACTGGCTTGAAGTGAACGGGGTTTATTAACTTCTTTAAGTTAGCCTCTGATAGTTATGTGACTATGACTAGTTATAGGTATACAACAAAGCAGTTGCATATTTAAGAGAGGTAACAACAAACTGTTCTGAATAAATATCCATGATTATCTAATCTCATGATGCTGAAGTTTAGGGTCTCAGAGATGCTCTGCTGTAACTGAAATCTGATACACCATCTCTCATGATTTGAAGGAATCTTAAGAGGATTTTTACTTCAGAAAGCAGTCACTTGTTTTTATGTCTACCAGAAATTCAGAAGTCTACACATCTTTCTTTTCCCACAACCTTCTCCTAGACAAACTGGCAACATACTCACAGGATGGGTGGTCTGTGAGATGTGTAGGAAATTGGGTCATGGGCCACACTCAGAGGATGATGGTCGACGGGTTTTGCTCACAGTGTGTCACAAGTGGGGTCCTCCCAGGGAACACCTTCATGAATCATCTGGACAACAGCACTGAAAGCTCCCTCACCAAGTTTGCTGGGGACATTAAACTGGCTGGTGAGGTGGACACGTCAGAAGGGAGAGCCATCTTACAGAGAGACCTGGACAGGCTGGAAGCAGTGGCCAAGCAAAAACTCTATGAAGTTCAACAAGTGCAAGGTCCTGCACCTGGGACAACCTAACCAAAGAGTCCATTACTGGCTAGGATCTGTGGGGCTGGGGAGCAGCATCGTTGGAAGGGACCTGGGGGTCCTGGTGGACAACAAGCTGTCCATGAGCCAGCAGTGCGCTGCTGCAGCAGCGAAGGCAAATCAGGTCCTGGGCTGCATCCACAGGGGCATTACTAGCAGAGATAGAGATGTGATTATCCCACTCTGCTCAGCGCTTGCCAGGCTGCACCTGAAGTACTGTGTCCAGTTCTGGCCCCCACAATTCAAAAAAGATGTGAGCAGGCTGAAGAGGGCCACAAAGATGATCAGAGGGCTGGACCGAAGGAGTTAAGTCTTTTCTCCCTGGAGAAGAGAAGGCTTGGAAGGGACTTCATCACAGTACTCCAGTACTTAAAGGGCAGCTACAAAGAGGATGGAGGCTCTCTCTTCACGAGGAGCCACATGGAGAGGATAAGGGGCAACAGGTACAAGTTGCACCAAGAGAGGCTTCTTTTTGATATAAGAAATTTTTTACAGTGAGACCAATCAGTTCATGGCACAACCTCCCCAGGGACGTGGTGGAGTCCCCATCGCTGCAGGTTTTCAAGATGCAATTGGACAGAATGCTATATAATCTCATCTAGGCTCCATTTCCCATGAAAGGTTGAACGAGATGATCATTTGAGGTCCTTTCCAAACTGGGCTGTTGTATCATTCTATGAATCTTCTGGCTAATAAGATTTATTCTGCCCAAAGTCAGGTTTAATTTGTCATTGCTCCCCAAAATGTTTCATAGTTGCTATATAAATTTGAAAAGCAGGTTAAATATGGAAGTAGCAGAGCTTTGCAAGTCTAGCGGGCCTAATTTACACTATAAGGCAAGTAGCAGGGAAGACTTACTTTATTTCAAACAGAAATAAGTTTAAGAAGCAAAAAAGACTTTTTTTTTTTCTACCACGGAAGTATGGTGTTTCTTGGTTCTGTTATCCAGTACTATCAACCTAAAGGACTCATCTCCTAGGCTTCTCATTTTCTAATCAAAAACTGTTTTAAGATTTTAAGTTGAAATAATGGCAGCTTGCTTATGATGGTGACTTAATGTGTTCGCCATGCCGTGAGTCTCTGCGTGGTTATGCAATATTATTTTTCATACATGCAAAACAACTTTTGTATGCAGTGGTCTGGCTGCCTGCTATCCCAAGCAAGGTACCTGCCAGGAGAAGCAGCTGTGCATGGAGTTGAGCACAGGCGGTCCCTAATCCCTTAGAAGTATGTCCTAGGCATAGCTTTTCAAAGATTTCTCCAATTTTTAAGGCATATCTGAGATTGTGGTTCTGGTCTATATGGATACAGATTTGCGCTGGCATCATCCAGGATTGTGTAGCCATGGTCTAAATGGTGCAGAACATGAACTAATGCATTCTGCCTCTGAACAGGGCTTATCAGCCCAGTTCAGTGCCTTACCAGTGTAACCTGTTCTGTTTTGGTTGGATTGTAGGAAGAGCAGAGCTGACTTGCAAATGACCTGCATAAAAATATTCAGCCATCTTCGAAGCAATATTATAATGTAATTTTTGATCGCTTGGCTGCGTCCTCCTAACCCGAGAAAAGATCTTATGTCCTAGTTGTCCAAAGTATTTAAAGAACCTCTAATAGAACTGAAGTACTGATTCTCATAATATAATTTAAATAATTTTCTCTTCCTTTAAAAGCAACTTACCTTAGTGAATAACAAGGAAGTAATAGGTATTATAATTGATTTGACTAGAAAAGTTTTATTTAAAAGTTCTTGACTAAAAACTGACTGAGATCAGGAAGAAAAGGTGAACTAAAGTGTTCAGGACTGAAAATACAGTAGTCTTGGGGAAGAAAGAAATAAATTGCTAGGACCACAAAATGGAAAGCAACACAAATTTTTTGGAGCTGTCTATACAGAATGATTAATACACCCCAAATTCTGAAGTAAAGCAAAGCCTCATCAAGCTCTTCATTGTTTTGAGGAATTGAGAAGACAATACTGCTGCAAAATCTTAAAATTTTCTGTGTAATCGGGGATGATGATACCCTGTGTTGTTTCCTATTTTGCAATGTAACCTTGACAATCAAAAGAATTTTTAATGTAATTTAAGTTTTAAACTTAACAAGCTGATTTTGTTTCCAACAGTGTCAGACAGCAATTTTCTAGAAGCATGTGCTGATAGGTTTCAAAATCCATTTTACTTGCGAAGTATACTGATTTTAAAAAACGAAGGAAGGCTACTGAGAGGAGTATGCTTGCAGTTTTGTATAAGGCCTTTAGTCTTCCTCTTTCTATCCTATTTCTAGATAATAATCTTTCCGAGATTCCTGTGTATGGTAATTGTACATTCTCTGTTCCGTGTAGAAAATACTGTACTTCTGATTGTTGAAAGGATATTTAAATGCATTCATTTTAGGAAGCACACAATACCAAGGTGATCCTTTACTCTGTGATCTTCCCAACCAATGCTCAAAGTGATAGTGTTACCTGCTAATAATCAGGTTGATGGTTATTGAACAATTGAGACACGAAGGAGTTTCATGCACTTTTCTATTTCAGTGTGAAGTAAAGCACCTTTTTACTTTGAATTTGTGCTCTAATTAATGAAATTCCTCTTTAGTTGCAGTGACTCAAGCTCTTTGCGTGCTAATTCAGGAACTCATGATGGTCTTGATCAAAATCCTTCCAGTTTATGTATATTTATAGGCATTTTATTTTATTTTTCTTTGCAGTTGATAGGAGCTATGAAGAACTACAGTGGCTGCTTACAATGGTTCAGAATGATCCTGTACCCTACATAAGGTTAGTGAGTTAATAGAGCCAGTATTTTTACTAATGCTGGAACTACTAAGTAAATTCTTGGCCTGGAATCACTGGAATAGATCATATGCTTAACTGCTTTATACTTCTTCACAAAAATGTTCTTTCTTCTTGTTATTTTTATAAATTGAAACATGTTTTTGTATTTCAACAGTTCACATCTCAAAAATTCTGGTTTGGTCTTATTCTCAATTACATTTATTTTTGTCTTTTATGTTCTACCCCTGTGGTGGAAGTCGGAAGTTAGAGGTCGTTTCCTGGTCATAAATCAAGTATATAAATCTACTATTGCATATGGCAAAACGACTTTGTGATATTTAGAAAAGACAAAGATTGAGATATAGTGCACACAATGTTTTGCCAGCAAGGAGTGTAAAGCAATTGTTAGACTGTAGATGGGGTGAAAGGATAAGATGTGAAAATATGGTGTAATTTCTAGTATTGTGTTTCAACTTTGTTTTCACCAGCGAGTGACTGGATATTTTAGCACATTCATTATAAACCTTTGAACACTGAGACTCATAATCATTGTTTTTCCCCAACGCTGTCTTCTAATGGCCACTGTTAAAATACTGAGTTTCAAAGATAAACAGTGTTACTTGTAGGTAACAGGTGATTTCTTACAAAGATCATAGCTGCAAGATTGTTCTCTGGTTTATTTCTGTCATTCTTGTTGATGAAAGTAGATACAGTTGGACTCACTAGAGGAAGTTTAGCTTCAGTCTAGAAAGGAGATTTAATTTGATTTGTATCTTTTTAAAAGGAGTTTTTAGTTGTGAATTGAGTGCAATATGTAAGCCTCTTCTAAAAGAAAAGAAAAGTATCTGTAAGAGTTTTCTTGTCCCAAATGTGTAAGACAGCAAGGGGAAAGCTGGCAATACAGGGAAAATAGTTAAAATAGTAAGTAATGGAACAAATAATTATTCTCATTCATAAAATTGTTTCAAGGCCGTGTTTAAAGAAAGAAAGTGGGAGAAAATGTATCTGCTTTCAGCTCAGTGTGTAAATATTGTAAGCAAACATGGTAAATACAGAGTGTTTTACACCAGCGTAACTCAAGGGTAACAGTGTTCCTTTCCAGAAAAATGTGCAAGTCACTGGTTTTGGTCCTGCCATTTTCCATCAGTCATAAACATTTAAAGTTATTTTCAAATTCTTTGGTGTCAGTATGTAAGGAGTTTATTTGCTACTATTGTTCCTTCTTTGTAATTATCAAGTCAGTGTGCAAAAAAAAAGGTTGTTATTAAATGGAAGAGCATGATGTAGCCTACAATTTTGTACCTAACTGTTAAAAGTTATGTCTAATAACATCCTGCTGCTTGGCACCTTACTTTTTATCTTTGAGTTATATTGCTGATGGTAAGTCTGTGTCTATGCATATTGTGGACAGAAGGAAGAGCTAAAGGATAAAACATAGGTTAAAATTTTGGAAGAAATCCTGTATTTGAATAAGTTTGTGAGAATGTTGTAAACTGAACAGACTTTCTATTCTTAGCGTATTAATTTGGATTTAATAGAGAAGGTTTTTTCTATTTCTTTTTCAGGCATAAGATTCTGGATATGCTGACTAAGAATCCACCTTTTACTAAGAACATGGAGTCCCCTTTATGTAATGAAGCTTTGGTAGATCAGCTTTGGAAATTGATGAATTCAGGTTGGTTTTGTGGGGTTTTTTATTGTAAGATTTTTGACAGAAGTGTTAAAGACTTGCTTCAGAATATGCCAAGAGCTCTCTTAGTTTCGATATTTAGAAATTGAAAATTCAGTCTCATAAGTTCAGTATCATTTACATACCTCCAGGATTTTCCCAGTGACCCAGGGTACCAAACCCTGTTTTTCATTCTTTTGTCTACTACTGTAGCGTGCTTTGATGTACTTTGGCATAAAATGATTCTTTGACCCAGATGTTCAAAGCAAATGTTTCCTCAAATGTTCGTATCTGTGTTACCTTTTTCTTTATAGTCTGCTTTAGATTAAATAATCTCTCTTTGTCCTCTTTTACTAAACTCTGAGAGAATATGAGAGGATAACATTTGTATAGATAATTTAAATGAGATTTTTAGAAATGTGTTATAAACTTAAGACTCAATTTGCCCTGTGTGATTAGGAAAGATCCTTATGAGAGAAAGGCTTGCATCTTTACCATTGACCTGTTTTTCATTACTGAAACAGTTTTATCCAGTCCCAACAAACTGCCTTTTAACATCTGGCACATTACTACATAGATTACATATAAATGTTTGTATAGCTTTTTTAGGTCATTGAAGGCTTGCTGTTCTCTGTGTATCATTATTTCTAGTGTTTAAAAGTTTGCAGCTACACCCCAAGGGTTGAAGTGGGGAGACTACTAGTAGTTCAGTTTCGTAGGATTTGCCAAGTGTCAGGCACAGAAAATAAACAATTTTGATGTTCCCATCAGAGAGTTTGTTTTTCCTTTTTCTTGAGAGAAGAGTGTGTGCAGTGTTAGTTACAACCATTACCTCTTTTTGCAAGTAACAAATAGGGTATACATTCTTATTATGATTCATGGGCCTTTAGGTACTTAAATTTCTACACATCAAAATTACATAATGTTTCAATTTATTTTCTGTAATGGATAACTGTAGCATTCCAGGGTGCCTTGAAAAAGTGTTTGTTAATGTGAGACAAGTTATTAGCCAGGTTTTAAAGCTGTATGATTCTAGAATCGTGAGTTGCTTTCATTTAACATAAGCACATGCAATAGAAAACAGACTCAGGTTGATATGCGTAATCTTTTTTTTTTTCTGCATTAGTCTGCATTAAACTGGTCATGCTCACAAGTTCCAAATATCGCAGAAAAATTCAGCAACCAATTGTATTTAAGCTTAGCTGTTCTGCTGGAAAAGGAGATACTGAATGGGAATTTATCGTATTGTTTTAAGCTGTACTAGTTTAAGAAGTTGAGTAAATTAATTATTGTTAAAATATGAGAATAGTTTCAATGTTAATATTTGTGAATGTGTCATAATCTGGAGAGTATTTTAATGTTAGAAATGTCCAGATCAATATTCATCAATTGCTTTCACTTGTAACTGGGTAAGTGTATGTACAGTTGAGCTTATTCGGAACACTCTAGCCCCATGAAACTTAGTATTTACATGGATAGATCTGTAATTTTGTTTTGTGCTGAGCCTTGCACCACCACATTAACATGGCAGTTGGCACATCTGTG